TCTTACTTGGAGAGAACCAGGGTATGCGAAGCCCCAGTCCTTCGACTCGCTAGAAGCTGGCACAGACGAAAAGATTGTGAAGGATTCTTGCATGACGATAGACCCAAGCCGCAACTACAGTCGAGTCGACGAAATAACTGTCCGCTACCGTGACGAAACGATCGGGAATTTGCCTCTGATTATATTACAAAGACCACAATCATGCATGCTGCTGGCTCTTGTTGCTCTCAGAACTAGCGGGGCGAGTAGTAGAAAGACGCGTCCTGAGACCAGCGACAAACCCTTGAACTCTAGCAACGGTCCCAGTACTCAACATTGTACATCTGCGCATCTCTGGAGTAGACTCGTCGCGTCAAACGAGCTTCCATTTTAGCTTAATTGAGACATTTCAACAGATAGTTGGGTCATCGGAAGGAACCCCGGATGCCCCTCACGTCCACACTGTCTTGTGTCAACGATACTTCTTTGCAGACCTGACTAAATGCTAAAACAGATCGTTCATCACGATACATAGCTGCCTACATACTCTTTTATCCACATTGCGTGCAGCATGACAGATCTCTCTGTTGAGAAGCTTGACCTTCATCCAATACCCCTCCAAGAGCTATCGGATGCTATCAAGACTGGACTCGCACATCAGTTTGAATCAACATCAGTATCGGTCGAGCAATGCCCAGATCTTCAGCAAACACCTTACAACTTGGCCTTTGCCGGACTGTGTGGCTCGCCTCGCATCGCTGACGTGGGCGGCCAGCCCAACCTAGCACCCACCCCAGACTTCTCTAAGAAGTACGACTTGCTGGATATCGCAAGGCTTATGGAGCTGCCCAAGGAGCAAGGTGCTTTGCTGGGGGCTGCTGCAGGACCCTTTCATGTTGTTGGCACGAATTCCGAGCTGATGCCTATTCTGCAGTGGAATGGCGCGGAGGTCGTCAATCAGACACATTTTGCAAAAGTGAAGGACGATGGAAGTGCTCTTTGTGAAAAGTTAGCATCTCACGACTGTGCGTTGATGGCGAACCTCTTCGGTTGCGAAGGACTACCGGGCGATGTGTTGCATATCACAGCATCCTCACGGACAGGGAGCCTCAACTTCACCGAAGCGATCCGCAGATCATTAGAAGACGCATACGGCCAGAAAACCATATCTCTCGGGGGTGTATTTCTGATATCAAAAGGCAAGGCAAAGCTGCATATCATGCCAGACTTCTCGTTTGTACCCTTGATCACGGATGAGCAGAAACAAAAGTGGTTGAAGTTCTACGAAACGGAAGCTCCCCTGGTATGTTTGAGTGTACTGCATTCACATGACCCAGGGCTCGACCTAAGAATCGAACACACACATTGCTTCTCTGATCACGGCGAAGGAGGGCACTACCATTATGATACCACGCCCAAGGATGTCCAGTACGAGGCATGGTTCAATGTCGCCAAAATTCTGTACCGAATTGACAGACCTTGAATGAAGGCTCTTCATTGCCATGACGCTTGTGAGGCCGAAGGACATCATTGGCAGTGTTGATAGGTATTTACTGTGTGTACTGGTGAATCTGCCAAGCATATCCAGATGGTCACCGTCGCGCTCCTGCAGTCTAGACTTGCGCGGCTCCTCGCGTGCAAGATCCTGCCCAGACACTGCAGAATGCATATCTGAACCACACAGCTTTCGTGCAATCCCGTAGACATTACACTTGGCATGGCGGTCCCAAAGACCCCTTCTCCTTTCTGTTTGTGCATCGGCGCTGAAACACGTCAGTGCCACGCACTGCCACACCGGCCCGTTGTTTGGCGCATGAACCGCTTCTCCTGAGTGCACTATCCACGTCATCGGATCGTGCAGCCCCATTCCCAGGACCCTCGGCAGCAAACAGGGCTGCATGAATTGAGGCTCACTCTTGTGGATGCCAGCGCATGTACATTCGTATTGATCGTTGCCCTCGTTGTCGTCAAGCCTCAACGGCTGCCGAAAACCTACCTACATCGCGTCTCACCCCGGATCGATGCAAGGCTCAATGTTAGCCTCGATTTTGCTATGATCTCATTCGGCCCACATTGACCCTACTCTTTCGCGATGTCGGTGGTGGAGACCTGAATAAACATGCCCAATCCACTCCATGGAGCTTGTGCGATGCTCTCCTTTCTTTTGTTGAAACAGCTTACAGAAGATGGGTGCACAAGACCGTCCGCCTCAAAAACAAAGTGCGAAGAGATATTGATTGCGGACCCGATCTCCAAGTGTTAATCTTGTTGTTTGAAATGTGTGCTATTTTTAACCGAGCGTGCCAGGTACGAGGTCAGAGCAAGAACTTGACGTCGCCTTCTAGAACCGTTGGGAACTATGAGAAGGATTCTCCACAACGGCCGACGACTAGCCAAGCCGGGGCAAAATGAGAAGCTCATCGCGTTCAAGAGCTTACCTGCTTAAGAGAACGCAACATGAATTATTGATGGAAGCACGTTGGTATTTATGCAGGATTCGTAATTACAGGCGCAAACAGTGTTTCCCTGTCACCCTTCCACATCCAAGGTTGCCGTTCACATCTACCACAAGGCCTTGCTAGACCAGGGCAAGTACGGGAGCTGCGGAAGCCCTTGCCCCGGGGGCCCACAAATGTCTCTTCCTAATTAGCTTAAGCACGATCCTTGCCATCGCTGAAGTCGATCGTCATGGACCGGTCGAGTATATACTTAAATCATTCCTCGCACCTTTTGATTCATTCTCAACATTCAGTCTTGTTACTTTTTAGGTTCCTTCTCTCATACCTATCATATTGTATTATCAACCTTTAGACCTTATTACCTATCATAATGCGTTTCACATCTTCTGTCATCGCCTCGGCGGCTCTTCTGTCCACTGCCAACGCAGCTATCAAGGGCTTCAACTACGGTGCCCAGTTCAACAACGACGCTGCGAAGCAGCTGGCCGACTTCGAGTATGAGTTCAACCGCGCGAAGAGCCTTCCCGGTACCGACGGCTGGACCAGTGCTCGTCTTTACACCATGATCCAACATGGAACTCAGAATACCGTCATTGAGGCGATCCAGGCTGCTGTCAACACCAAGACTAGGCTTCTTCTCGGCCTGTGGGCCTCTGCCGGCCAGGAGTCTTTCAACAACGAAATTACCGCGCTGAAGGCTGCTATCGCCCAATACGGTACTGCATTCACTGACCTGGTCGACGGCATCTCTATCGGGTCTGAGGATCTTTACCGCGTCTCGCCCGACGGCGCAGGAGGCAACCCTGGTGCCGGACCTGATGTGCTCGTCAACTACATCCAGCAGGTCCGCAACGCTATCGCTGGAACTCCTCTGTCTGGTGCTAAGCTCGGCCACGTCGACACATGGCAGGTTTACGTCGATGCTGCCAACAACCCTGTCATCGATGCTTTGGACTGGATCGGTATGGAATTCAAGAGTGCAAGATCTGACATGACGACTAATCATCGCTGCAGGTATGGACGCGTATCCCTACTTCCAGAGCTCTTTCGCGAACAGCGTTGGTAACGGCGGAGACCTTTTCTTCGACGCCTACAACAAGACAAAGGCTGCTACCAAGGGTAAGCCTGTCTGGGTCACAGAGACTGGATGGCCCGTTAGTGGCGAGACCGTCAACCAGGCCGTTCCCAGCGCCGACAATGCTCGTATTTACTGGGAGGATGTTGCGTGCAAGCTGGTCAACGACAACGTCAATCTCTACTACTACATCCTCCAGGACGTTCAGTGGGGCAACCCTAGCCCGTCTTTCGGCATCATGCCTGGAGGTGATCTCGCCCAGGTCTCTCCTCTGTTCGACCTGTCGTGCCCCGGTGCGGCCAAAAACGTAAGCTACTTCCCCACAATTCTTCTTTCGTCTACCCTGTCACCCTTGCTTGTTGCCGTTCTCGCCCACTTGTCCTTGGCTACTGCCGTTCTCTCCTACTTCTTGCCTACTGTACCGGCTGCCCACAATTACTTCTCTTCACAACATCTGCCCGTACATTCCTTGGCCTCGACTGCAAAGCCGTCAGGTTAAGTTGCACGGGCTGATGTTAATGCGAAGTGGACTTTGTCCTTACCAACAATCAATAGCAGCAGCAGCGTGGATGCAATAAGTAATCTGAGCAGCTTGGGTGGTCTGATTAGGCCGAGCATCCTGCGAAAACTGAAATCATGTCGAGGCATATGCTAACAATGCAACAGTAAACAGTCCCTCCTCAACAACCGAGCCGATCAACGTCACTGCTCTTGGGATTCCATCTGACAATTCAGCATCGTCCAAGCTAGCACCTACTGCACCAATCCCTGAGTCCCCAGCGGCAATTGGACCGCTACTCAGGTTCAGCAAACCTCTTCTTGGTCTGCAAGGCCCCTTTGAGGCTCTTAATCTGATTATACCCGTCGACAAGGCCAATCCATCCCGAGTCATCGGGAATGGCTACGTTGCTCAGCTGTCGCCAACACTATCGTCTATCTTCGTCTTCGACTTTCGTCCTGAAGATGAGGGCAAGACCTGCAATCTGGAGTTTCACATGCCGCCAGTTTCCCCTTTGCCTGACATATCACCAGTCAAACTTCGGTCACCAGGCGGGATTACTGTGTCAAGTATCGGCCAGCAAGCAGCTTCGGCAGGGACCAGTGCAAACGATGTCTTTGAGTCGACAATTGTGGGGTCCGTGCCATCTGTCCAATATGCGAACCGATACAGTATCGTAACTGTTCCTTGTGCGGCGGGCCAGAGGGTGGCGTATAAGCTTGACTCTGCTGGGGGGTTAGAGATGAACTTTTTCCAGATGACCACACCAGCACTGGGCTTGTTCATGTCGGTGTCTTGAGTATGATGTGTTATTTCAGCAGAACGTTGTGGTTGTTCGGCTGTGCTAAGTAAAGGGTTCAGTTGTTAAAATTCACTGTACATATTTAATCAACTTCTGTTCTATTTTCACTTCAACTCATGCCTCTTTCTCGCCCACTATGGTTATGTGATTATGGTTACACTAAAATCCGTGACTTCCATTAAGTGGTCCTCCATGGCGCAATTGGCAGCGCGTTCGATTGTTATCAGCGATGGCAAATCGGAAGGTTGACAGTTCGAGCCTGTACGGGGGAGAATTTTTGCTGTTCACAGTCATAGTTGGTGTTATGTCATACCTTTGCCTTCACTTCATTACTTGTGGCCTCGTGACAAGCAGCTACCGATGAGTATTACAGTGGACCTTTCTACGGGACCCTTAGAAATCAATAATCTTCTGCATCACAGTACATGAGTCCTTGACGTCTGGTCCATTCATCTCGATTCTTCCATTCCTAGCCTTCACCACCATATTCGCTTCTCCTAATGTGCCAGCAACCAATCTTGGTTTGCTTTGTCCCAGCAAAGCAGCCTCACCAGCCAATTTATATCGTGTCTTTAGCTGAGCACGCCACTCAGGATCGAGAGTGCGCACAAGTACGATCGCAAACGTGCCAATGAGGACAAGGATGAGTAGGCAGCGCAAGATGTATCGCAGAACCGTATGGCGCGTGTTTCCGCACCAGGCGTCGAAGTTCGACAGCACGACGAAGATCCAGAATCTCCGCTCTGGCAAAGTGTGTATTCCGAGCATGGTGGCGTTGAACATGGTGTCGCGTTTGCTCAGGGCGCGTAAGGCGGCGGCGGTGCGATGATACTCCTTGACGAGTAGTTGTATAGACACACTATATCTTGTGGTTTTGGACGAGCTTTCAATAAGATGAGGATGTAGCGAAGTACGGATGGGGGTTTGGCGGTCCTTGTTGTGGGTTTAGAGACTCGCGAGGCCTGCATCTAGGTCTTTGATTGTGAGATATGAAGAGCACTTCCTTGTTGCTGCGGGGCTAGATGACGGTTTGCTACATGAAGGTTTGCGGAAGGGATGAGAGGTACTGGTGGATCAATCTTGGTTTTGCTTTGTTGGGTTGCATGAACCAGGAGACTGTATGTGTTCCAGTATCAAATGACTAGGTATTGTTGTTTGCTTGCTTGCGAAACGCGAAGACCAGCGTGAAGAGATTGCCAATGGCAGAGCTAAGTAGTTGCGTAGAGTTGTACACGCGATGTGCTTACTTTGTTGATGAACATCCCCCGCTTTTTTATCGTTCCTTCCCAGAACTTGAGTTTGCTTGCGTGCTGATTCAGGACCGCACTTTCCGCATCCGGGACAAAGAACTGAGCGCAGCGGCTTCACACTGTTGTCGGAATGTACATCGGAAAATCTGTGCATCATGCAAGGACTTGAGGATTGTTGGTCGACACCAAACGTCAGTGATGCTGTGTTCCGCGAGCTGGGCCTTTGCAAGGCTAATCAGTGTTTTGCCTTATGGTGGGCGAGGCTGTCGTTCCACAAAAGGTCTCAGATAGTAAGGCTAGACATAGGCTGGACCCTCGAGCCTGGACTCTCGGGTTCGCTGTTAGACCCTGCCTTTGTGGCCAGACATGTGGCTGCTAGGTAGCCCCAACGGTCGCGGACGCCGATGTCCTGGTCACAACGCGGGAAGGATTCACCAACAGTAGAGGCACGAGGCAAGCGGTCCAAAGATTTCGGAATGCTAACCGAAAGCAAGGAGCACAGTCGGGTTACACAAGAACGTCCTTGACGCCATAAAAAAGCCGCAGGAATGTCGAGCACTTGAACCGCAAAATTGAAATATGTGTCTCCAATGACGAATTTATTTTACTTCCATAGATAAATACTTAAATACACAATTTCAAGAAACAACGCGGTAAGCCAACATGTGCAATTTCAGCCTAATCACGCAAAAGCAGTAACGTATACACGAACAAACTCAGCAAACCCGCGCCACACCACCACCTTCGCAATCTTACCCCCGGACCATCGATTCGCTAGTTGCCTTTTCGAAACATGCCCCACATGTTTTTCATACGCGTGACCTGGAGGTCTGTGAATCTCTCATAGCACTCGTCAATGGAGTAGTCCATGTAGTTGTGAATGGGATCAAATTCACCGGCCTTTTGCTGAGCAGGACAGCTCTGCTTCTTAGAATCCGTTGGACAACCGTCAGTCGCAGTACTCTCGACTGGAGTGTCATCGATGTAGTCGCCGGGACCAGTGCAAGAGTAGCCCTCGAAGGTGTGCAGCAGACCGAGCCAGTGACCAGTCTCGTGCACGGCGGTCTTGCCCTTGTTAAATCCATCCATGAGGCCATCTGGCATCGTGTTGGCATTGACGTTGCACCCATCATTGGCGTATGTGGCCGGGTCCTTGCCGTTGGGCCCCAGAGCAGAGGGAAGAGTGCATCGGCCCAGCACACCGCCTGCCAAGTCGGTCTGGAAAAAGATGTTGAGTGTCTCGTAGCCGCCCTGGCGAAGCGACTTCTTCATGTTGGTATCGTCGTCGCCTTTGCCCACAGCCCATGCGTCGTTGGTAGTCCATGTAACATTCTGCAGCTCGAACTGGATACCGTATGGGTTGTAAGATTCGTTCAAGGAATCAAGTTGAGATTGTGGCATGGCATTGGTAATGGAATCTTTGGCAGCGCCGGTCATGACGATATGGAAGACGGCTTGAATCTTGACAGGGTCATCACGGGCGGCGATCTCGGCAGCGCGAGCAGTGAGGCTACCTTTCCCTTTACCATCATGTAGCTGTTGCAAGGTATCCAAGTATGACTGGTCTGCAGACTGGGCACCTGTGCCGCAGTCGAAAGGCTTGGCTGCTGCGTCTGAAGGTTTGGGGTCTGCAGCGGATGCTAAAAGGCCTAGCGAGGCAAGGAGGAAGGAGTGGCGCATTCGAGCGGCCGGGTAGCGAAGGTTGCACGGAATGCGCAAAGTCGCTGAAGTGACTTGTGGGGCGGTTGCCTACAGGAGAACGACGGTGCCAAAGACAAGTTGCAGAGCTGCCGTGGTGGTTGCATTGTGAGGTCGGCCACAAGGCTTTTATTCTTCCTCTCGATATGCTGTACATGTTCTGGATCCCTGAAGTTCCAAAATGCCCATCTGGGTTTATCTTGCTATCCGTCTGGACTCTTGTCTGGTCACTGTCAGTACGATGAATGCGGCATCATCAAGAGACCTGTCTTGGTCCCGCGCCATTTGACAGCGATGACACAAAGCTTATTTCCTGGACAATCACAATAGTCAGGTGCAAGCAAGGTAAGAAATCAGTCGAGTATGACATGCATTGGCCCAAAGAACAAACTGAGTCTCAGATTCCCGCTCAAACGCCAAAACTCCAGGCCATCTTAGCCTTGCGATATCCATACAGTACTCTGGGCCCAAACTTGACGCGTGGATCGGTACAATTGCGAAAGAAGAGGAGAAACATGAAACAAAACAGTCTAGCAACAAAGACGTTGTGGCGGTACCTACTGCTACGCTCCACCGGCCCGCCCGGAAGTCGTTGCTGTGCTAGGCTGATCGTTGTTCCAAGTGAGGTAAGTGTGGTCGCCGAGTTTTCTGAAGAATGTCAGCAATCTAGATTTATTCCCGTGCTGATGCCGAGGAACTGACCTCGGCTTGATGAGATGAGTGGCAAGGAACACGGCACCAAGCAAGATGCAGAGCCCGCCGACAACAATATACGCGATGCCCAAGAACGGATTCTTGCCGCCCATAACGGTGCGCGTGGAGATCAAAATGGATTTGGTGCCACTGTATGCCTGTACCGGAAAGCCTAGAAGCGTGTGAGTTAAGAGTGTCGTGGGCTGACGTGCGCCAGTGGTTGTCTTACGGTCGTAAATCTTCAACCGATAAGTGCCCGCTCTCAAGACATCGTTATCATTGCGCTGGGCGAGCTTGCTGAAGGTGGGCAGACCAGCCGTTCTCATCCAGACCTGGAACGCCTCCCACGTGTGAAGATCTGGAAGCTCCTGCAACGAGTCGTAGCGCCCGTCGATGTACTGCTCTTGCCAATTGGGCGGAGGAACAACATCAGATGGCTTGTACTTTGTCTTACCGTAGAGATCGCCCTCATGAGCCCACGAGATTCCATTGGTCGTCATGTTGTAGACACTAGGGCTGTTCTCGTTCTGGGACGGATTGGTTGCGTTTAAGTTGGTGAAGGTGTCGTTGAACATTGAGTTGGCAATGAGACCACAGGGGTAGTATGGCTTGCCATCGACCGAGTCCAGGGGTCCGCAGTCGCCAGAATCAATGTCACTCACGGAGCGAGCGGTTCCTTTCAGCTGCTCAATGTCCACGCTCTTAACGTAACGTCGGTGGTTCTGGTAGAAGTTGGTCAGGCGGTAGTAGAAGAGGATGGGCGGCTGGATGTCGTTGGGTATCTCGAAGCTGAGAATGCACACGCTGGTGTTTTGGACCTTGCCTGACGGCCAGGTGTAGTTTTCCCAGGCCTTGCCCCACTGCGGCTGCGACTTGACGGGCGTCTTGAACGAGGCTGATACGTCGCCCGCGGGGATATCGGCAAGGGTGCTTGTGGCCGATGCATCGAAGATGGCTTCGGTAAGGGGTGCAGAGGTGTTGCAGTTGGTGTAGTCGATGGAGAGCTCCTGGACCTGGTGTGTCTGTTAGAGGTGCGGCCGTTGGGCAACAGATGGACGCGTCAGCCTTACCAGTGAGCTGGCATAGAGCAAGAGGCCGCCGATGGGAGCGAATATGATGCCGACAATGAAGAAAAGCGGGAGGACGGTCTTGGGGGTTAAGATAGGCCTGTCGCCGCGCGGTCAGTGTTGGTCTTCTGTTTCGATGCGCGCGCTGCACACATACTGCCACGCCTTGAGTCGCTGCTGGCGAAACGCCGTGTCTGTGCATCCATCAGTGCTGTTCTGCTCCTATGCGCGCGCAACCGCAACCGCGTGCGCATCTGCGTCCGCGTCCGCATCCAGGCTTACTCGGGGGCCGTCTGCTCTTGGTCTTCTTGGAGTCTTCGCGGTGCAGGTCCTGGCTGGATATCGAGTCGCTGGGCTCCATCTGCTGTGTTTGTGACATGCTGGACAAATCCGCGCTGATCCGCAGCGACGGGTGTGGCGGTCGTGTGGTAGGTATCGGTAGTCGTCTAGGGCGCGGGCGCTGACGATGTTGCAGGTGCAGGTGCTGGACGGAGCGGAGGTCCAAATCACAATCGCCGAGCCGTCTTAAATTAGCCACAGCATGAGCCCAAGCCCGAGCCAGGG